CTTAATTCGATAAGGATGGCACAAAAACTATTATAAAAATCTCACAATAATAAAGTTTATATCAGATAATATAGAACAAGTGTTAAGAAAGGGATACAATACTACCTGGTAATGTCACATATTTGTTTAGGCGTCGCGTCGACTCAAAACCAGTAGCGGTCGAATGTATACAAATATATATAAGTATACAGATATACGCCGAGGGTTAGTTTTTGTTGCCTTTTTTACGCCACGTCCAGTTGTAATAGAACTTCCACTAGGGCTGTCCCGTCACTTTATTTACACTCAAGGTTTTTTTCTTTTTTTTTCAATGATTTGTTTATGGGCGCTAGTTTGGTTTCGATTAATCGGTTTTAGAGTTTACAGTACAAAATCAAGGATAGATAAGATGTTCTTCATTTGTATAGTTACAAAAACGCGTTGCATTCTCAACAACGAACGTCATTTTGACATCGAATCGCCTTTCACTTGGCCTAGATATTTCGGAACTGGTTCGTAATCACAATGCAAACTCGCTGGCTCCCAACAAACAACTCGCCAATGCCGTAACAATGTATTTCCTGTGCAGCTGTGAAAAATCTAACGAAAGTAGTACCAGTTTTATTTGAACAGCCCTAATAGGACGCGATATGTTATTTATGAAACATTCAACTCGCTTATTATAAACATTATGAACTCCTAACTGGTTCCAATAATGAAAAGAAGAAAAATAACTCCTTCCTTAGCTATTATATTAGCTAGCGCATATTCATCATCCAAGCTACGTAAAAATATTGACTAAGATTACACAAAGAGATTAATCAACAACCCTAAGGCGTAAATGAATAAAATAAGATGGCGGGAGCGTGCTAGCGCGGCAACCTGTTCTGAGCGGGACGCGCCGCCCACGCCTGACAAATCGGCGCGCGCGCACCATACACCGATTACACCACGAACGTGTCCGATCAAGTCCCGACTTGTTCCTATGCAGCGTCAGAGGAAAACAATGGCAAGTTACGTTTTCTGGGAAATTGATTCATTAGTTTCATATGAATGCCATAAAAGGAAACTGCCCAATAAGTCACTTTAACCAGTTACCATTTCCTCCTTTATTGTAAGGTAAAATCCCAAAAGCCTAAAATACAACAGTGTAGTAATGTTGTTGGATTACTCAAATGCTATTTTAAAGAGTTTTATCTGTCGTAGCCTCGTAGCCACGCTGCGTAGGCACAGTGTGTCTATCGTTCCGTCTGGATCACGTAGTATTACGCTCACAATATTGTTTGCAATCCTCCACAATAAGCGGAGAGAACAAGCCACGTCCCTGTAATTACGCGAGTGCGGACAAAAGGAGGTTCGTTGTCGAGTCCCTTTCTCTTGACTGTAATGACTGCAACGATCACTCGATGCCAGGATCGTGACCACGGCTCTTGCGTCATTCCCACGAGCGAGTAACATTTGGACAACATTTGTGCAGCAAGAATACAATCCTTTGTGGCCGACCTCCAACAATAAACATAATAACGCAATTTATATTTCGCCAGATGTAATTTTTGGAGATTTCGGTAATGGCGGTAAAGTGAGTCAATTGTGAATACATTTTGTAATTGTGTATCACAATGCTACACCTCAATTACTTATTCCCGGAGCGCGTCGTGCTTCCTGCACTCCTGCGCATGCGGCAGGATCAAAGGGCAACGCCAACCCTGACGTGCTCCCGTAGCGTCGCGTCGCGGTAAAAAGTTAATTTGACGTATCTCAGGAAGGATCACATTTTTTCACACTTTCCAATGTTGTCCTTGTGTTTTTATTCCCAAGTGATCTCGGATTCTAGTGGTGTCTGGACTGACGGATGCAAGCCCGGCTGCCGCGGCCTTCGATGCACGTGGAATGCATTACAGAGCTGTTGCTAACCCAAGCAAACTTGGCACACTGACAATATGATAAAACATACATCTCCCTGGCAACCATACTGTATCGATACCAATAACTTGTAGATACAAGATTTAAAATAAATTCAAATTGCAAACGCTACCTGCAACGGCTTAGAAAATATGCAAATTGCTAGTTCTACTAACACGCTGAATACTTAATGGCAATCAGTGACGGCGGTTACTTGGAAATGAGTCAAAATAATGGTGTATACTAATGTATACTGGTTTCGTGTTATGATTCGTATTTGCGCGGTAAACACGTGAATTATAGCGGGCATCAAAAGAGGTAGAGTTCGAGCGCCCGCGCCGATATTTAGGTCGACGAAAATAACTTCAGCACTCGGACGCCAGTTAAAACTACAGCTCAAATGCTGTTTAGCCACGTCGACTTGATTATAATACCAGTCATCATTTTAACTATATCTAATGTCCACAGTCAACTAACAATCTAGAAATTCGCAACGCACTTTATCTAGTATGGAAACTTTATCATTTCAAGGTTAAATATAACTTCATGGATTACGTTAAACACACGCATTATTTCAATGAATTATCACAAATTAACTCTGTACTACAGTTAGCTAGTATAGTATACGATAAAGGTTTGATAATGCTCGTGATAACCGTGCGAGTTGTTTGTGCCCAGCCTGTGCGCACGCGCACGCCTCCCAAGGCCATTTTGTTTACGCATACACCCGCATGTTTACGCGTGCCTAATATAATACTCGGCCGGCACACATAGGTCACTCTAGTAAACACACAGTAATACTACGCAAATCACATCGCGAATTAGTCAGGTTATATCAAGATCAGAATGGCGCGAAACGCTCCATTGAACGTTTGGCGGGAAATCGTTGCGTAATCGCGTGAAAGTATTTTCTCGCGTTTGCATCGTGTGTAGCGTATTTTTATTGTATTTATAAATTGTTATTCATAACATAAAGAAAATTCAATACTATGTCTGTTTTTAAATTTGGGACGAGCAGTAGGATTTGAACGACCTGATTGCACGTGTTATCATTATCAGTCTTGTAAATGTAATAAAGGTGCTTGTAAGACACTCATACTGTAATTCTAAGTGTTCTGATAAGAAAACGGGGATTGAAATAATGTTTTTAGGTTATGTTGTTATGATGGGCATAACCTATAAAATCCACGTGTCATTGAATTTGGCGGGAAGCTTCGGGCGACCAGTCGACCTTGGCTTCAAGACGTCACTGACATAGTTCCCGCCTGCACACCGAGCCTTGTTTTTTACCATGATTCAGACAAAAATATTACAAACGAGATTTTTACGTTGAGCGTTTAATAACGTCTTGTGGTCGTGTTGCTAAGTTCGCTGGATACGGTTCACCTTGACATTTAACCTTGATTTTATTAAAATGCAGCGTTACTATACTTTGAATAGAATTATCGACATACACGACTTATTAGGATTCCTACTGCATTACTTTCTTGCATCAAATATTTTAAATATTTTTCTAGAAAAATAATGATTTTAAAACTACGCCTTTTATCAGTCTGCAGACTTCGCTACGAACTTTAGTGACGATAGATAAACTTTGACATTACTTAGTAGTTAATTAAAAAAGTAAATAATGTCTACGCCAATTTCAGCAGATATGACACACTTGAACAAATTAATTATAAAACAAATTCGCCAGAATATTTACTTTAACATTCACTATAGCATTTCAACTATATTTACCTTTAAAATTAAGAACATTTTTACTGAACTTCGGGTATTGTAACTGTCTTTTCTTTTAAGACTTCTCGTCTACTTCTTAAAATATTATAGTCTTAAAAAAATATAATAGTGTTTACTATTATAATTTTTAGGACTACTTTGATAAATTAGGTCTTAAACAGAATAAACTATACTGAGTTTTAATCTTTAACAAACATCGATCGGGTCCTAGCAGCCTAGCGTCAGGAAGATAAAACTCAATTTAACTTTGTTGGAGCAAGTTCCATTTAACCTTGGAACCGACGCAACGGTCGCGACGCCATTTTTTGTGCTCTCTGATAATTTAGATGATCATAGCGTTCGATTGTTATCGACTACTGTTTGCACCCGTGCCCGTGGGCTAAGTTTTACATAGCATCCTTTATTTATTTATTTTTCTGCCATCAATTCTGCTATATGTATGTTCTACCTCTAAATTGTTATTTGATGTTTGGTGTTGTTTCTTTTATTGTGCTTCTGCTTCATTATCTGAGAGAGTTGTTTTGTTATTAATGATACGATCATAAAACGCCACGGTTATTCAAAGTATGTGAATATTACATCAAGATCTAACTGCATTTGCATCATAGAGCCTATCATTGTCATAATCTTCACGCTACAAAACCCTTAAGTTTTTTCTTAAGCCATAATTCTGTTTCCAGCAAGAGTTATGGGTGTGATTATACTGTCACTAGGATCTACACCAACCTTCGTACCAGTAACTCACAAGCGAACTATTATAACTCAGATTAAACAGTAGTAAAAAGATCGTAAAATTTTATCGTTATTAAGGCCATATTTTTTCAAAATTAGAAATGGTCACAAAGACCGTCGCCGCCTAAGGATTGTTTAGAAAAAAAGATTTCGTCGCTTTAAGTACTCTAAAACTACTTTTTTACAATCGATCCTCATGGATGAAGTCGTAAAATATTGTGAGGTCCCGCAGGACGCAGGCGCTGCATCCGGAGCTACGGGCGTCTTAACGAATCTTTCAGTTTGAGAGTCGTAAAAATTTTCCCAATTCACAATGGTGCTGGCCCCGCCCTCCGTAATAATATTTTACGACTGATTTTATGCATCGTAGCGGCTGCGTACGTCACCCTTCTCAGAGAAATGTTAACAAGACTCATAAACCGCTTTCACCTTGCATTTTATCGCGACGCAGTCGTCACTCTAAGTCAATAACCGATGTATGAACACAACAGAAACGAAATTAATTCCAATTGAATTTTATTGCCGAATTTGACACCGTCTGGGACGTTTCTCTCTACAGCGAATGTGCATTGTTATGCTCGAAGACATTCTCATTCTTTCACGCTACATAAACCGAAGTCTAATTTCGATTGTTTCTTTATTTTCAGATTTCCTGAAGCCCCGCAAGCGGTTATCGACGAGTGGCAAGAAATCCCCCGCGCACGCGCATAAGCACGAGTGCGGGCACGGCGCGCACATCCGCCCGCCGAAAGTAGCACGACTTGCGCCCGCGCACCTCAAGCGCACCAGCTAGGTCCTGCCCACTGCGGAGACAACACAGAATTGAACGAACAGCTTCGGCAGCTACAAACAGATGTACGGAGCCTGGCCGGGCTGGCCGGACTGGCTCCCCGCACACACCCAGGCTCCCTGCGTGTATCTGGTACCACGGACTTGACTGACTATCACGCCTACCGAACCGTCTATGGAACTGTTCAATTTTGTCAGACTCGTTGTCATTCTGTGCATATTTTTGTTTTATTAATTTATTGTAATACCGTTTCCAAATTACTAATAATGTTAAGTAATGCGTAAGTTAATATAAGGAATATCTTTAGTTCAACAATTAATATATCATACAACGTGTCACTTACATCACAGTCCTAGTTTTGCTCAATGTATCTGCGACGCAGACGATGCAATATTCTGTAATCATCTACTTATGCGGACATTTCACTTTGAACAGACCATTTCCACTAAGAAAAAGAAAGTCCCCGAGAGAGGTAATTACTATATAGAACATGAAAGTCTGAATGAATAAATTGAACTGCATAATCACATTGTTAACATAATATTTTTATAATGTGTTAATATGTCTAATTAAATGCTTTCCAAACAATTTCAAAATTGTGGAACGTTGTTGTAATTACAATCTCCCAGTATGAGGTTGTAATTAAAACATCGCTGTAATGATGGTCTTCAAGAAAGTGAAATGTATCACTTACGTGGCGCAGTAACGGTCACTGCCGGAGTGCCCCCACTACAACACATTCACAAAACTGGAACACTACGTGACAACTTTAAATAAGTTATGATTATATTATATGAATTATGATCTCTTTGAATTAAGTTATTTTTAGATATAGCTTCGGTTTAACTATAAGAATATTTACACTATACGTCGAAATGCTAAGGTTACGCAGTCACAACAATAATGTCTCGCAAATGCTAAGACGCAGCCGTGGAAATCAAATTTCCATGGCCACGCATGGCATTTATGACACATTCTCCCGAGATCACTCTCTAATCTTCCATCGCCTGCTGCGAGGAATTTGCGAAAGTCATCACAAATAGTATAATACAACACAAATACTCAATAAATAAAAGACATTGTTACCGTCAATGTAACATTTTTTGCAATTTTAAAGTATAAGTAGTACAATACAGTTGAGTTTGAGACTTGAGTATTTGTGTTCGACAGTTCTACTCGTATCGCAAAATTTAGGATATTTGTTTTGTTGTTGTATTTTAATGGTTTATATACCTACATAATTATATTGATGATTGTTTGTTTTTCAATTGGTATTCTAAATTTTGTTCACAGTTTGTAGCAGTCAATATTGGATTTATCTAACCGTGGCCCTTTGTTGAAGTACAAATTTTCTCATCAGGTCTAGGTCGAGGGCTCACGGTCGTAGCAAAAAGACACCCATGTATCATGATCATTACTCATCCTATGTATAATGTTCTAACATTAATGTTAAGTACTTGTAAACCATACATCGTGTATGTTTATATTATTCTATACAACGAGAGTTGTAAGCATTTTTAAAGCTAACCAAAGCCGGTGTAAATTATAGCGACGATACACACAAATGAAATTAAGTAAATGAACTTTTATGACTTGACAGAGAAATAATGAATAATTTTATATTGTTGTAAAGGTATATTGAGGACTACCTGTGTAGTTTATTGCCTGTTTAAAATTGACGTTCGTAATTTATGAATTATTTTTTGTGTTTGCCTGTGGTCTTTAAAACCGACATGTCTTTGCTTACACTACTTACAAAATGTATTTGAGATAATGCAATGACATTGTAGCTTTCAGCTTCAATGTTTATTTCATAATTTTCTAAATCCAGTTCAGTGTCGTAGAGACTTGGCTCGACAAAGACTGGCTCAGTTTGTGAGACCACACCAGATATGGTATAATTATGTTGTTCGATTCGGACGCGATGGTGCCCGCTGGGCCACGACTGTCTGCAATATTATAGAAATTAAGTGTCCTCTTAATGTTTACACGACTAGACAAATCACTACCAATAACATTACAATATTACTTCAGTATCAATAAAATTACAATAATAACATAATATTTACTATTATCGTCACCAGCAGCTTATGTTTGCACAGCGATTCTATATGAGTGCACCTTGCAATCTGCTTCGTTATCTAGTTCGCGCCAATTACTTGTGCCTACATATTGTAATGCAAGTAAACAAAACATTTAGAGGACACTTGTATAATAATTTTTAATATTTTTTCTCTTTAACACCTGTGATGTATTAAATATGATCTCGAAACATAATTTTACTACGTTCATATTTAATTATTTTAATAGATTAGTCCCGGTGCCTGAGTCGGAATGTATCCCTGGAGAGTTTGTATTGAGAGATAATTTAATACATCAGTTGATTAACGTTTAGCGTGACATATATATGTTATATATGGCTCGAAGGAAAGGAGTTGGTTTATGTAAATGTGCTACGTTCTTGCTGCACTGTAAATATAGTGCACTTAGTATGTATATTTATTAACGGCGGGACGTATTCGTAGGTTAAAAGGAAATTATAGGGATACTACAAATATTTAACGTAATATATTACTACGATTAATTATTTTATTGGAAAGTTGAGAGGCAAATTTTAATTATGTGCCAAATATTCCACACTGTGTCGAGTTGTTTTGTTTGTGATCTGACGTGTTACGGCGATAAATATATTTATGTTAATGACAAATTGCCGAATTATATTAAAACTTGAGTGGCACCAGGTGAACTTGGCGTTCAGTTGGTGGCATGCAAGCTAAACTTAGGGAGATGCAATACATAATAACTTGCAGGTTGTCTATGTAGATTTATTTATCGTTCTCGATGGCAGTTGACCACAGCAATACAAACATTTCTTAAAACAGATGTATATATCAAACGGAGACAATTGATAACTTTTATACTATGTGAACTCTTAGACATGTGTAATGTAAATTTAGTTGAAAAAAAGCTTCTTTCGCTCGATAACTTGTGTTTTTCTTTCTTTTATTACCCCTTCCTGGTTGAATATTGAAAATGGAAAACTTACGACGAGTATATTAAATAAGTACCTGCACACTGTTTGTCACAGATTGATGACACACAAACACATATTACATTTTAGTTTTCTTGTTATTACCAAAAGCCTGCATCATATAGACTGGAGGTAAAATGCTTTGCTGAATCAACATTTCAATATCAGTTTCTGATGATATTGTAAAGATAAATAAGTAGAGGAAAAAATGCAGAAGACTGTAGAATAAATAACATGACATCACTTCTTCCCCGAGAGGGTGAACAGCGACACCGACACAGTACACTACTAAGATTTAACTTGCAACAAAAAAGTATCATGGGCGCTGACAACAGCAGCATAGTGCACCTTCTAGGTATTAAAAGAGAAATCAACGAAATATACATTTTTCACACACATCCTTTGTATATTAAAATCGCAAATATCTTGAAAGAGGTAGGTGATGACCAAATTTTCAGTACCTATCTTAGCTTAAGATTAAGCAGAAGTTAGTGAAAATGGGCATCAGTAGATAACTTCTATAAGAGACATGCCTCCCTGAAAGTAATCTTGACAGCGCTCATGTTTAGAAGGCAGTAAGAAAGTCTTGAACTGATCATCACGCGGCAGAGTGACCAGTGACCCAGGGGTTAATGAATGGACTCACGAAAGTGACCCATGTTTGACTTGTGTAAGTATTGCTGTGTATTGAGCAACACCGGACCATTCCTATTAGTGTCGAATGATGGGATTTAAAACGTATGTATGAAGATGTATGTCAACCAATTAGATGCAGCTGTTGTCGATGTAACTAGGACGTTTTCTAGCTAAAATTTAACTTCGTCGGGAATCTTTCAGACTAGGCCCATTTGGGATCGGCTTGGGCCAGGAATGGGCTTTTTGTAAAATCTTAAACCTATTTAGACGGGTACTAATAATTTTCCAGGATAGGATAGCTTTTTAAGGGGGGAAAATCATCGAATGACTGCTCCCGCCTGGGTGAGGCTGGAGGGGACTCTTAATGACTAAAAACCACCCCGTTCCTTCTCCTGCACGTCGAGCCGGAGCCCCGGTAACCCGTTGGGCCCTATCTGTGGTGGTCTGATGGCTCTTTGAGGCGCGCGCGGAACGCGACGCGCCATACGGTCGGGTCTGTTTCTGGTCGGACGGGGAGCCAACTATGCTCGCCGTCCGCAGGCCCGCGCGTACGGAGATCGTCTCGCGTTCGAGGATAGGATACCTTTTTTTAAGAGGGGAAAATCATCGAATGACTGCTCCCGCCTGGGTGAGGCGGGAGGGAGCGCCAGACTCTTACTGACTAATACCACCCCGTTCCCACTCCTGCACTTCGAGACGGAGCCCCGGTAACCTATTAAGTTCTCCGCGGCTCCGTATCGGCATCAGCCCTATTGGGCTGGGGCCCGTGGTGGAGGATGGGATAGCTTAGGAGACTGGTCTTACACTACTTGAAAACCTAGTATATGCATGACCCGAGGTTGGAACCCAAGACTTTATACATTCGTTTGTAACTGAATGTTAAGTAATTATCTAGATTTTTCTCTTACTCATAAATAATAATTAAGTCATGATATTGATTTATACTTTAATTATAAGTACTCAATTAACCTAGAAAGTTACGATAGTACCATATAGAATCTTAACTGAGTAATAAATTAATAATTTACCGCTGTGTGAGAGATGTAACAAAACATCAATATTTCTCTACAAAACACTACAGCCGATAATATAGTACATCATTGTTTCCAATAGACGTATTGCTAAATCACTTTATAACGGCGCCTCTCTGCTTGAGAGTCGAGAGTAAAAGTTACTCAGTTCAGGTTTCATGGGGTTAAATAAAACAGCAAGTTTGATGCTCGTATGAAAATGTTTATTGATATCACAATCAAGTCTACAACACTACCCAATTAATTACCCATCATATTCGTGTACACGGCGAGTATGGATGATTTTACACAAAGATACACTTTACCAATTAGTACATCAAACGCCGTTACAATACCGACGCTACCATAAAATGTTATAAATCTAGTATAATAAATACAATTTTGTAATACCCAATGAAA